GAGGGAACCTTGTGGATTGAGTTGGGTGACTCATGACCCTCACCACTTCCTGCCATTAGAGACACTGGCCACAGACTTTCTGGGCCTGCGGGAAGCAGTGAGTACCCTGCTTTCTCACGATGGCCGAGTCAGAGCCTCTGAGGTCCCTTCTCCACCCACCTGGGGGTCCAGGATCCTGTCCTGGGTTCCAGGGGCACAGGAAGGGGTTGGGGGTGACCTGGGAGACCCCAGAGGGGTGAGTCAATATAAGAAACTGAAAGGACTCAACAGGTGGTGAGGACTCTGACTTCTAGAACAGCACCTGTAGACAACAAGTGTCCAATAGATGTATGTGAATGAGGGAATGAGGGAAAGCCTTGGGTCCAGACTTGGCTTCCTGTGACTTTACTGTGTCACCCAGGTATGTCATTACTCTTCTCTGAGCCTTGGTTTACCCAGCTGGACATTAAGGGCTGGACTGATGGTCTCCAGGGGCCCTCCCAGCTTGAAGTCGAGAATTTGGAAGAACACTGTCCCTGTGGTGCTCGGGCGTTGGGAGTGCAGCAAGGCCCCAGAGTGGAGGACCTGGTGTCAGCAATCATGGGAGCAGCCCAGAACCCACTCTGACTGGTCACACGGCCTGAAGCAGGCGGGTTCCATGCCTGATGGTGGGAAACTTCACCTGGGCCCAGGTGACTTCTCTTCACCAGCATCGAATGACTTCCCCAATCAGAGTTATTCCTTCCATCACCTTCCTTACCCATCAACCCATNGCATCAAATGACTTCCCCAATCAGAGTTATTCCTTCCATCACCTTCCTTACCCACCAACCCACAAATAGTCAATACCCAAGGGTCAGGTCTGACTTATAAATGAGCATGGCCAAAGTAGGCTCTATTCCTTTGCCAGAGTTGCCACTCCTCCCTATTGTCTTGCATTTGGCAAGTTGCACATTTATGCTATCTGACCCCTAAAGGCATCTGAGTTTGGAAACTCTGATCTAGCTCAACAACCCCATTTATAAATGGGGGGGGGGGG